CAGGAGTTCGAAACCAGCCTGAGCAAGAGTGAGACCTCATCTCTACTAAAAAAAAAAAATAGAAAAAAATTAATTGACCAACTAAAAATATATAGAAAAAATTAGCCGGACATGGTGGTCCATGCCTGTAGTCCCAGCTACCTGGGAGGCTGAGGCAGAAGGATTGCTTGAGCCCAGGAGTTTGAGGTTGCTGTGAGATAGATTGACGCCAGGGCACTCTAGCCCGGGCAACAAAGTGAGACTCTGTCTCAAAAAAAAAAAAAGAAAAAAAATGTCTGTGAGGTTGAGCTGAGAACAAGATGAAGCAGACAGGCACCTTCACACAGGCAGGCCCATTGTGGAAGGTCTTACGGAATGTATACTGTTCTTTTCCTTAGTGTTTTCACCTCGGGTGTTTATTTTGTGGGTTCCAAAGCCTAAAGAGAAAAGGAAAAGAGAAATTGTTACGAAATGACCTCTTCTGAGATAAAAGAAGGGACACCTTACAGAAAGGTTTCTTGTTACCCCTTGTCATAAAAAGAGAGAGATAAGACTCAACTCCTTGCATTTTCCCAGGAATCAACAATCATACACATTTTCCAGGGGCGCGAGGACTTGCTTGGTAGCAGTAGTAAGTCACTCTAACTAACCCTTGAGTAACATCAGCCTCAAATCATGGTGATAAAACATTTGGCAACTAAGAACATTCAAAATTCTAGAGCTCATGTTTCTGGAGCCACTGCAGGCTGTTTTGGCACAGGTGTTACCTTTTTTTGGGCCAGTACTTCTTGTCTTCTTTCCTATAATAGGCCTTTCACACACTTGTTTATAGTTTTATGTCAGGGTGGACTTTATTGTTTCTGACTGGGGAGAAAAAAAAAAAGAGGAAGAGAAGGTCCTTCTGTACTGCCTTTGATGTGATTTTATTTAAGTGGTTGTTAGATCATGGTGATTTGTCTGTGAGATTGAGGCGTGCAATGTTACTCTGTTAATCCTCACTTCTGGGGCGGGTGGGAGGATCATCAAGGTCAGGAGTTTAGAAACCAGCCTGAGCAGAGCGGACTCGTCTCTACTATGAAGAATTAATTGCACTAAAAATATATAGAAATTAGCCGGACTGGTGGTC